ATGGCTCTCCTTGAAAGACCATTTGTCTCCATTTTGGCTAAACCTCGCCCAGCTTCCTGTGTTGATATGTACTAGGCTGAGCTGACTAGGTTAACACTCCACCCTCTCAACGGGTTTTCAGCGATGCAAATGGGTCAAGCCCATGCGATGTGTAGACTTTGAGGCAGTGCACATATCGGTGATGTCTCTGACTGCTAAGCCCAAGCTAGCTCCAGACACTCCGAGCCGGCTGGGATTGAGCCTCAAGAAAGATGGAAAACGGCTGTGAAGTTCCAGGGAGGGGAAACCAGACATCAGAGCTGGGGTAACCAACTAAAAGCACAAGATACTTCCTCAAAGTGTGTCATGCAGATTCCTCCGAACTTAGAGGCTACCCGAATCCAGTACTTTCTGCATATGTTCTCTGCATATTGCAGAGGTGCCATTGTGTCTCCTACCTGGCCCAGCTCACAGGACTCATGTACTTCCCACCATTCTCACAGTCACTCAACCCCGAGCCTCTCCTCTCATCACGAATTAATAAAACTCCACGTTTGGCTCTGGGTTGTGGCCTTTGTTCCGGTCAGCCGTTATTCTGACTGGACTTAGGACCCCCTTGACTCCCTACAACTGCAGATTATGTGTTTGTCTCTTTACTCTCATCTTGGGTTGCATTGGAAGTGGTAGAGTAGAATTTACTTATTAGAACCACAGTAACTTTCCCGTGGGGTTACCAATCGGAGGTCAGGCAAGCAGTAGGAGGGAGTGGCCTGGTACCCTGTGCTGCTGGGGAGAGGGGTTCACTATTCACAGCCCTTTTCATCTCAGCATCCTGGGTGTTACCTCCACAGAGCCATTGCAAGACTAGCAGTACCATTTGGTACCAGATACTAGAGGGCTCTCCACACCCTTTCCAGCCTGTGCAGTCAGCTGGGGGAGCCATATGTCAGCCCACTGCCACCTGTTATGTGGCAAGTCAATCTGTCACCCTTCAGTAGGCACCTACCGTACGTAGAGCCCTGCACATGTCACCCACTGGCTCCCCAAATCCAATGATCCAGAGCAGTTTGCAAAGCTGTCAGTAGAGCACAGTGCAGAGATGTCCCAGGGTCACTGTGTTCGAATGGGGGGGGCTGGCAGTGCTTCCCCAGGGGTAAGGTGAACTTGGGCAGCTCAGCCACATGGATGATGCTTCCAATTCATACTTTTAAACAGGCTTGGGTAAGAAGCAGCAAAGCCAGGGCTGTTTTCATCTATTTGTTTAATTATTCCTATGTCTGCCAAATATGACTAACCAGCTTCTCAATGTGGCCAGAGAGACTTCTACTCTTCCTCCAAACCCTGTCATCTCCATGTGGCCAGGTTGTGGCCATTTCTGCTTGCAGGCAGGCAAACCACCTGCTCAGGGGGACCAGAAACTTGGGTGAGATTTGGTACAACTCCTGGGAAGACACTGGAGCAATCAGACCTCAGACCAGGGGCTAGTGTCCCCTCTGGAAGTCCCCTGCTGGCTCCTCCCTTGTGGCCTCTGCCAGAGTCCCACACCTCTACTTCTTTCTCCCCACTCAAATGTCTTCCTTCTCACTCCAGAAGCTTGCTGGCATCTAGGCGATTAACAAGCCCAGTAGTTCCCTTCCTCCCTGCTCTGGCTATCAAGAGTACTCTGTAGAAAAGGAAGCATTTCCTCCCCAGCCGGGCTGAACTCCCTGTACTGATACCAGAGAAGTAGGGGTGTCTGACTCCCAGGGGAATCTGATCGCATCTCCCACCAGAGCCCATCTGGTTCTTTCCTTGCAGGTTCAGCACCTCTCGGCCTGACCCAGCACAAGCTAGACACCAGGCCATTGGACACCAGTCTCAGCTCTTCTGGAGTATGTCTGCTTCAAGATGGTTCTGCTCCAGCCCCTTGACTCTGGGCCAGTCCAGGGGAATGGTGGGGCGGGGGGGGGGGGGAATCTGTACCCTGGAGACAGAAGGAAATGAAAGACAATATAGAGTCTTTTTCTTCAAGTTGAATTTAAAGACTTTCTTCAGAGTTTGTCTTTTCTTCTCTGAGTGCACATGTGAATTAAAATGAGATCATGGAGTTTTTTCTATAAACGTTACTCGAGAGAGTTACTTAACGTTAGGCAGCTCTGTGTCTGTTAGAAGAGTTTATGAAGTAATAGCTGGGTGGTGGGTACAAGGGCATCATTATATTCTTCTCTACTCTGGGCATGTTTGGAAGTATTAAGTATATGTGTGTGTGTTCTTAAGTCTAGACAGACTGAACCAAGTTAAACATTAAAGACTAAACTACAAAACGACTAGGGGGAAAGGGTGAGGTTGGTGATCCATGAAATCTAGACATTTTAGGATGCAGAGGCTGATCCATGTCATTGCACGTCATCCCCTGCTCCCTCCCTGTCCCTTGCTCCCCCAACCCACAGGAGATAGGGGCAGCTCTGACACTTGCTACCCCAGAAAGCTCTCTCTCCCTGATTCCAGCCCCTTTACCTAGGTTAGTGGTGCACAAACCAGTGACCTATGGAGCCTGCTTACCTTGGATAAGATTGGATCATCTCATTTAATTATAGCACACATGTTCCTGTGACTTACTTGGGTTTGGGATGAAGGAGCCTGAAGCAGAAACTGGCAAATCCTTTGATGATGAATTGAATAAAAGAACGCATGCAGCCCTTCCCAGATAGCACACAGATGGCAGGTAGCATCCTATGGCTGTCCCTTCTGTCCTTGGGTCACTCAAGCACCAACCTTTGCCTGGGGGTTCCTGGAAGTCTCTCTCATGCTACCTTGGGAGCTGTGATACTCTTAACATTTGCTGGTCATGTTTCACTGTGTTCTTCTAAAGTATGGGCAGTCCTTCTCCTGCTCAAAGCTTGCCCTGGCTCCCACTGTCTGGGTCTAAACTCCAAGTTCCTTTCCTGTGTTGTGAAACTTCAGCCCCTGTGCTCTATCTCCTGTTTCCCTGTAGATCTGTGACCACCCCAATCTGTTTGCCACCAAATGAACTGGCACCTCTTCTTTGGTTCCTTTCCCTGGCATGCCCACCCTATTTGCCTATTTGTCTCTCTCTCTAACTCTGAATCAACTGGCCTGATTGTTAGCTGTGTGCCTCTTGCTAGCTGTGTGCCTCTGAATAGCAGGGTCAATGTAGCATCTGCCCTGGTTTGCTGTCTCCCTGGCTGCCCAGCACCACTCAGGGTATGGACCCAAATTGGTAGGTATTATTACTTGCAGTGCACAGGGAAGAACTGGAGTGATTAGCCACGATTGCTCTGCCAATATGGCTGTGCAGGGCATCTGAATGCTTTCTGGACTTGTGAACTAATCAGTAAATGGGGATGATAATACTGTTATTGGTGGAGCTATCACCAATAACTTCTTTTCAGAAAGTCTGCCTTGAGTCTAGGTTTTTCTGGAAGGGTGGACTGAAGGCTCTGGGATATGTTTGCATGGCCAGAGACCCAGCTCCCCGGTGGTTACTCCAACCCAAGACGCATAAATTGCACATGCTGAGTGAGAGATATTGGAACTCAAGAATCTGAGTCATTGAGGCAGCTGGAGGCCATGCAAAGAACAAGGGTGGGTACAGAGAGATGCTGCACTTAGGAAAGGCAGCCAGTGTTCAGATCAGTAGTGGCCAAGCTCTGCTGTTATCCCCACAGGCCAGAATTCTCAAAAGCGACTTAAAAAAGCCACACAGTAACTTCACTCACTGTGTCCTCTTTGAGCCAGACTGCCCATTCTTGATCAAGCCAGCATCACTGGGCAGCTGATGGATTTGCTGACTGTCCCTCAGAATCCTTCATGAGCCATCTCTGTCTCTCATCTCCCACCCTGCTGGGGCAAGCCTGCCTCCCCAGTACTACAAAACCCCCCGATGGGGTGTTGGAGAGGTTGTTCTTCCTGCCACCTACACCCAAGACGGGATTAGTCCTCCATGTCCTGTGGGGTGAAATGCCGCTTCCCCAGGGAGGGTCTGCACCGCAGTCTGCTCACCTTAAGGTCACCTGCTGTTTTCAGATGGGACCAACCCCATCAGGCCCTAAGAGCCGCAGGATTCTCACCAGTGGGGACTGTACTGGTCCCCCCAGGCAGCTCCAGCACACCTAACTTCACGGTCCTGGCAGCCTCGTTTCCGCCCTGCGTTGGAGTAGATTGTTCCTAGGGGCATAAAGTGGGCAATCCTGGGTGCCCTGGGTGGTGTGAAGCGTGAGTCTCGAGGTTCTAAGATCTTGCCTATCCAAGAGGAGAGATGGCAGTGGAAGGGTCCGGCCTAGCATTTTGGGAAAAGTTCAGGTGTCAATCCTTCCTGCAGACAAACATGACAATTACACCTTCTTTTATAGAGGATCTCTAACTTAGTGATGGGTCACAGCTGGAGACTCTTAGCAACACCCTGTCATCTTGACCCCATTTCCCGGGTTGTCATTTTATTAAGGGTCAAACAGTTATGAGAAAATAGTACCTCGTTCATAAAAATCTAAAGATGGAGAATGCGGGCATCGATCCCGCTACCTCTCACATGCTAAGCGAGCGCTCTACCACTTGAGCTAATTCCCCAGATTGGGAATACTTCCGCCCCGATACATATTGTGGTACACGTCATCACGGGTCTCCCCCTCCCCGCTACAAACCCATCTGACTGCAGTCACCTCGTCACCCTATTGGTTCCCTTGCACGCCGCGTTCCACGACCAAGACTGGTTTGGCTCAATTTAGTTTTAAAAGACATTCACCCCTCGGATTGGCGGTGCAAAGTGTCCATCAAGCGGAGGACCTGCTGTTGCTACGGCGTAGGGAGACCCAGCCAGGGTTCCCCAGATTTCTGATTTGTTTCTCAGACTCCAGGGTCCTAAAGATTCCGGATCCGTCTAGTCCTTGGGAAAAGAATGCTCCTCTCGAGCTTGAGTGACAAAACCTATCAGCCAATCGGAGTAGAGGTAAGGGAATCGCCAGGCTATCCAATAGGCTGCGGGGGGCGTGAGAGGAAGGCCAATGAGCACAGATGAGGGGCGGTGTCAGGATTACGATTGGCTGCCAGGAGGCCGGAGGGAGGGCGGGGGAACTCAAGGCCTGCTTGATACGTCCGCCATTTTGGGCGCTTCGCTGATGGTGTCGGTGAGCGCGTTTCCCGCCTGAGCGCAACTAGCGGCGGGTCTTGGGCACCTTCAGGTAATGGGGGAGGGGGGCAGCGGAGCGGGCTGCGGCGCGGGTGCGCTAGCCGCGCGGGTGGGCGGGCGGCAGGGCCCCTGGCCTGGACCTGGGCGGCGCGGGGAGGGAGCGTCCCGGCCCCTCTTCCCCTCCCCCCCGGAATTCGCTGCTCCGCGGGCCCGGGAGGCGCGGCACCGAGTCCTTTCCGACCGCTCCCGCCCGCTCCTGTCAGCCGGGCCCCGCGGGCTGGGCGCCGGGGGCGGGACGCCCGGACAGCGAACTTTGCGCCTCCTTGATGTTCATGGCCTTGCACGGCGGGCAGGCGAGGCGCGCCGGAACCGGGTCCAGCTCAGGTCCGGTTCTGGCCCGATTCCCTGGCTCGCGGTGTCGCACGCTGCCCGACCCCGCTCCCGCACCTGCGGGGCCTCCTGGCCGCGGGCTCCTTGTAAACTTCTGGGGGCCTTCGGGAGCGTGTCAAGTTGAGGCAGCAACTCACAGAAAAGATTCGCTAAAGGCCTTTGTTGGACTCTGCTCTCCGTGAAACAAGTTTTGTGGGTTTCTGTTAATTCGCCGCAGAGTCATCGAAACACACAAAACCCCGCTCGGAGTCTCCCAGTAGCCTTTCGAGTGGTTTTCCGGCTCTGATGTTGTGACTCTGGTGCGGACCTGGGCACAATCGCCTCCCCGGCGTCTCCGAGCCAGGGGGTGGTCCTTCTTGTGGCTCCGGGGACCTCCCTCTTAAAGAAGCCCACTCCCTGTTAACTTGGAGATGTCGCCTCTTCGGGTCCTGCCCGCTTTGATCCGAAATTGGCCTTGTAGTTGTAGGTGGAGCGAATGAGTTCTCGGGGGTGTGTGTCTTTGTGCTGTGACGTCTCCACCTCCTGACTTACTGTCATTTGTCTGGCACTTTCACGTCGAACTGTGTTTATGTTTGGCTTTTGTGGGAGGGGGCACGTGGTAGTTTCCTTTAGTCCTTGTAGCACTGTTTATGTTGATACTGTCTCACTTTGTTCAGTGGGGTTTACTTAGATTTTACTCTCAAGGTCACGTTGCGGATAGGCAGCAGGTGAAAAGGGACTCCTGGTTTCCAGCCACTCGAGTATGACTTAAGTGGCAAACGTTAAGATACCGGTTTAGTGATGGTGTTTGAGCTTCGTTCTCCCTGGATTTGAAAACGGCCTAGGCTTAACTACTTTCTAACTCTGTGACCTTGGGCAAGTTACTTAACCTCTCTTTTCTCCGTAATTTGGGAATAATAATAGTATCTCTGATAAGTTTGTTCCAACAAGTGTATGTGATATACATGTGACCAAGTGTATGTGTAAATGAGTTAATACACTCTAAGCGCCTAGAAACGTGCTTCACAAACAGAATCAATCAGCTCAGTAATCAGTGGTTATTAGTTTTAATTTAAATTTGATTTTAAATGTTTAGATATAATTCCGAAGTGAAATAACTGTTTAAGATCTGACTGTTAGTGTCTGTAGAGAGCTCTGTGGATTTTGCTTTTTTGGTACTGGGAATTGAACTCACGACCTCGCACTTGCCAGGCAGGCACTTCACTCTGTTTTTTAAGGGTCAGTTGGACTGATTTATTTTTTCAGGACAGGAGTCGATGAAATTTAAATTACATACATTTTCTGGAATTAATGGTCTGCAGAGTATTTTGTTTGAGAGATGGTTAAATACAGAAAAATCATCAAGAGTTTAAACAGGACTGTTGTTCATGTACTTCTGGATACTGCTCCTGGGTGCTCTGAAAGTTGAAACTTTGAGTGCCTTATTTGATGCTCAAAAGATTTGGATTTTAGACCATTTTTGATTTTAGGTTTTTGGGTGGTTAGATTTTTAGAGCTGAAAAGCTTAGATTTTATGTATATATGTATTTATTTTTGTGGTTTTAAACAGGGTCTTCACCATGACTATATCCTGAGCTGGCCCCATCATCATCATTTGTAGTACTTGGGATTGAACTTTCAGGGCTTTTGCCCTAAGCTCCATCCTCAGCTTGCTAATTTTTTTTTTTTTTTTTTTAAGTTTGAGACAGGGTCGTCTTTTGTATAGTCCAGGCTGGCCTTGACTCACAGCAATCCTCTTACCTCAGCCTTCTGAGTACTGGGATTACAGATGTGTACCACCATGCCCTATTTAAAACATTTTTTGTAGTTTTTTTTTTTCTGGGAACCATACTCAACCTCACGCTTGCCAGGCAGGTGCTTGTGCCACTGAGCATATCACTGGCCCCTAAAATTTTTTCTTTCGTGACAGGCTCTCACTAGGTTGCTAAATTGGTGGTCTGGAATTAAGCTTCCAGTCCTTCTTGCCTCAGCCTTTTAGATTGCTGGAGATTATAATCGTGTGCCATGTGCCACCATACCTAGCAAAGTTACAGATTTTAAAGCATTTTGAATTTTTGGATTAGGAATCCTATACTGGTAAAGTTTGTCATATACTCTTTTTTTTGTCTTTTTCCTTTTTATTGGTACCAGAGATTGAACTCACGACTGCCTGCTTGCAAGGCAGGCGCTTATGCCGCTGAGCTAAACCTCCAGCCCTGTCATATACTCTTAAATTCAAAATTTTAAGATCTCAAACTCTTCTGGTCCCAAGCATTTTGGATAAAAGACTATTCACCCTGAAGTTTGAGAAATAGCTGTTACCCTAGATCTGTGCTTTGGAAGCTTATTTGCACCTCATCTTGTCTTTTCGAAGAATGTAGAATATTTAGTAAACTGTCATCCCCAAGTTTACAGTAATACCTAAACTCAGTCATTTAATACCCCATCTGTGCTCTTCACCATGGTACTTTAAAATGTTCCCTCCTCCCTTGTTGTGGTTTGTTATGTTGCACTGGGGAAGTGTATTTTGATAGACTTGGACTTAGGGTAGAGATGAACATCTTGCTGGTGTAACTTACTAAATGACAGGAAGAACATTGTTTTGGGTTTCTAAGACATTTGCTTTTGTATAAAGTATAGCACACCAAACCAAACAACACACACACACAAAGCAGCTTATTAGTTTCATTTAATTAATTGAGAATTTGAGAATCAGATATAACTGGACAGAAATTAGTAATAAAATTAAGACTTGACAGGGTAAGATTTGCTGATGCTTCTTTAAAATAAAGTTTTTGTGTCAGTTTAATCCAAAAGATAATGCACTTCATATAAGTAAACATCTCTTCCTTAAGATGGCTCTGGCAGAATTGATCATCAGTTTGTTTCTATGAGAAGCTTGTATCTTGTGATTGCATATTTTAGGCATCTGAGAAGTCTAAAACTTTATGATTATATATAGGTCTAAAATTTTATATTTTACTATTCTTCAGAAGAGTAAGTACGTGATTGTGATGATGAAACTCTTCTAATCATCTGCCAAACTAAAACCAGCAGAGTTTTATTTTATACAAAGTACAAGTGTAGTCTAATTCTTATATAAGACCTGAGCCCCAGTGTAGGTTGAATAGTGTTAGCTAGGAGGCACTGAAAAAAATAGTCCTTCTTATTGGCTTTAAGCAGCTTTCATATTTCTGTCCTTAAGAAAATCTCAGGTTTTTTTTTTTTTTTGGATGGCAGTACTGAAGCTTTCTCATTGAGCTACTGCCCCACCTCTTTTTAATTCTTTGAGGCAGCGTCTTGCTAACTCACTAAGTTGCCCAGGTTGAGCTTCAATTGTGATCCTCCTGCCTCAGCTTCCAAGAGTGGTGGAATTCTAGGAGTGTATGACCACATCTGGCTTTTCTTTTTAATTATGGAATAATAATAGTACATATTCACTATTATTATGGGGTGCAGCATAATATTTCAATGTATGCAATGTGCTGATCATATGGGGCAGTTACATTTCCATCTCCTTATGTTTTCTTTACATCTGGCCACCTTCAGGTGTCTGTTCTAAAATGATTGGGTTTGGGGCTGGGTAGCCCAGTGTAGAGCACTGAATGATAGAGCACTTGCCTTGCTTTCATGAGGCTCTGGGTTTCATTCTAGTATTGAGAAGAAAAGGAAAATTCAGTAAAATGATTGCTTTTTAAAAATTTAGTTTACATCAGGGCTTCTTAATTTGGAGTGATTCTGCTCCCTAGAAAACATTTGAGAATTTCTGAAACACTTTTGCTTTGTCACATTTGTGGTGTGCTTCTAGAGGGTGGAGGCTAAGGCTATTGCTAAACACTTCAGCTTGACAAGTCCCCCCGCCCCCAACAGATTCGTCCAGCCTCAAATTGTAGTGGTGCAGAGGTTGAGAAGTCTTGCTCTAGAAGATGCTAGACTGGCCTACATTAGTCATTTGGGACATTTTAACACCATGGATATTGGACTTCACCTTTTGGAAACTTATGATGAGATTGAGAATCTAATTTTAAAAAGTTTTCTTGACAATACGGAAGTGATGCTGGGTTTTGGAACCACTGTTAGGGACCACAGATTTGAGATCTGTGAGTACAAGCTTCTTTGAGTGGTCTGTGAGCTCTGACTTTGCAGAACATAGATCCCATCTTAGAAGTTACTATGTATTGGGGAAAGATGAGATTTATACATCATTTTTCAGGTGGCTGAAGACAGAACTTTAAGATAAATACCAAATGAATTGTCATTTGGTCGTTCTGATGCATGGCTGTAATTTTAGCACTCTGGGAGGATGAGGTAGGGAAATCCTGAATTTGAGCCCAGCCTGTGCATTTCAGTGATTTCATGAGATCCTATTTCAAAATAAAAAAGAGCCATAGATGCAGCTCACTGCTAAGGCCCTTGATTTGATCCCCAGTACCTCTGAAATGCTTACATCCATCCATCCATCCATACATACATATAGATATTTGCATGCAAACATATGTACATATAAACAAAAACAAACTGTATGTACATGCTAGGTAAATACAGTTGAGCTACATCCCCAGCCTTTGCAGATTTTTTTTTTTTTTTTGGCCTATAAATACAATCTCAAACTTGAGGCTGGCCTCAAATTTGAGATTCTCTTGCTTCAGCTTCTCAGTGAATTGGGATTACAAGGGAGTACTA